GTAACTATTGATGGGTCTTTCCAATTCATCATCCTTTTTATGAAAAATCTACGAATACCATCTTTTATGTTGAATTTGTCTTTCAATTGAAGAAGTTCTCCTATTTTTCCATGATTGCTTTCAAAGTGCTCTTTTATTTCTTTCATTGGGATTGGAACTAGAGATGTACCAATGTATCGGTGTCGGCAATATCGGCCATTATTTCGGTATCGGCTAAATTAAGACCGATATTCCCGATATATCTACCTTTTTGATATGAGCCGAAATGTTTTAAAATAAGTTAGAACACTGAGTTTTAAATTCTTTTTTGCTAGGAGGGATCGTGAACTATGAGCCATGCATGAATGTCCCCTTCCCCACGAGTAAAAACGGGAATATAATTCACCTGTTTTTAGCTATTTTATTTATCAGCCAAACTAGCTCAACTAATTTGGCTATTTTCGCTGCCAAATTTTTATATTGACATTTACAATATATATTACATAGTAATTATGAAGAAATATATTAACACAGCACAGAAAAAAGAGCAATTAGGCTCCCAGTTTTAAATCATACATACGTATTTAACAGAACATGCACTTTTTGGCACGGCTATGAATTCTGACCGTTTATCGTTAAGCGCGCGTGTCATTTAGTTAGTCCATCGACATCGTTAAACTAAATTCCTACACAATTATCCCTCTATGCAGGTATATATTAAATATTGTGATTTCATTTATTTTTATTTTGCTTACCTACACAATTTCCTTATAGATTCATCCCCGTCGTATTATGGGTAGGGATGGCGAAATCGAATCAGGATTCGATTACAGAATCGATTCTTCGCGGAATCGACTAGAATCGATTCCATGCATTGGAATCGATTCTCGAGGTTAAAACTTGGATTGCAAACAATACGTAACGTTTTGTGGAAATCCCTTCACATATATATATGTAAAACTGCTTTACTGCTATGTTGAGTTGCTGCGACGTCTCAAATTTCACTATATATATATATATATATATATATACGGTATATATATTTCGCTAAAGAGCTTTTACGTTTATTCATTTCTAAAATCTCTGACGGATTCTTTTTTTTCGCGATTCAGTTTCACTTTCAGTTTCTATGACAGATTGAATACCCATACTACTTAGTTTTGGCCTTCTTGTCCGTTTATATATTCGAACATCGCTCTCTTGTTTGATTTCATAATTATGGTATTGCTTAGGTGTGTACGTTTTCTCGGAAAGATATGTCGAGGAATCGAGAATCGGAATCGAAAATTTAGGAATCGGATAAGAATCGAATACTTGAAAGGTCGAACGCGAAGCGGTAATCTGTGCCAGGTTGTGTCTGATACTATTGAAAAGAGGTATTATCAAATAGTCTCAGATAACAACAGATGACGCACCCTGCATAATTGCAAAATATTCATGACTGTTTCTCTTCCGAGGAATAGACAATGAAAAAGGGATAAATATTAATATATCGTCACGCTAATAACCGAATTGCGTAACTCATTTTTGGCGACTTTGATAAGTTGTTTTTTTTATAAAATAGGTATTTATGTAATGCTGCGCACCTGTCTGTTAACTCAGATTTTATTTTAAGAATTCCGAAACCCATAAAAATAGAGATTTAGTATGACATGCACATTTGTGCAATTGTTTCGTCATAATGAATTATCATTGTTACCGCAGGACTATTGTGACGCCACAAAGGCAAAATAACCTCGGCGACGTATTTTCGAGTTTCTGCATCTCGGATTCTAGCTTAGCGCGTATTAATTTGAATTTATACTACAGTATAGGAAGACATGCACTTGTGATATTCACTGTCCGAGTCTAATTCACCTTGGTCGGCTTTTATATTGGGTGCATTGCTGTTTTATTCTTTATATGTAATCTTAGTTTTATTTCGGTGGCTGTGCAGAACGTGTTATATTATTGGAATATGTAAAATATTCTATGTTTGACTATCTTCCATTTATCTGTCGATATATATTGAAACTTAAATTGCGCATCGTGAGCGGCCCACAGTTTTAGTAAAGTAGGCTACAATATTAGGAGAATCATCGTCCACATAATATCCACATATCGCAATCACCGCAACGTAAAGTTTGAACTTTATTGCGCCGCGTTTTTGTGCAATTTGACGATCTTACTTGATCCATAATATTTATGTATTATTTTGAAAAATTCAGACGTAAGAAAATTCAATGATTAATAACATAGAGCAACAGAATGCAATATTGGAACAAATCTCGGATCTTACTAATTTTCTTATTTTGAGCGTTGGTATATTCTTGGCGTGGTCTTCGTACAAAAGATACCAAATCGCTGTTGAATTATATACGTACATCGTATTTATTACTTCAACGCGCATATCTGTGATTTTTTTTCCAAAATATGCGATCCCGCTTGATCAATAACTCGGACAGCAATACTGATAGACAAATTTTGATACATTTTAAAGGTAAGAAACTTGTTCGTACTTCAACCTAAAATGCAGAATCTTTATTTCAATGTGGGATATAGACAAATCGCCGTTGAGTTATTGCGACATTTTGTGTAAAAACTATCTTGCTTGACAAATACAGAAACCACATCCACATATATATATATATTCATCGAGATAAAATATTGCTCCGATATAATTTAAACTAAATGAAGGTAAAATTTTCCAAATTGAGAAAGATACTTAAAATAGTTACGTGAAAAGTATTTTTTTTACTGAACTAGCGTTTCGCTCGACTACCCAATGCATAGGACATTCATCCATCATTTCAGTTAAAAACACGTTTAACCGACTATTCCCACATATTCTCCTATAAATCCGGAACAAGTCAATGTATGAGCAGACAACTGTAGCCGAAATAGTCCGCTTCAAGAATAAACATGTTATATATTATATTTATTCGAATTGACATAGGGCAGTTGCAATTAACAAGAGATTCGAATTTATTGAAAACTTGCCATTTCTTGACGTCGCAAAGATTTGGTTTAAACCTATTTTACTTTGAAATCTGACGCAGTTAGCAGACCGGTACTAATTAAATCAGGGGTGCACAACCTTTTTTCTTCAGACGACCGCATTACGCTTTTATAAATGGTCCACGGCCGCCAGGGAAATCGAGGTCTTTTATAAGTCATATTTGTTTTAAAAAATGGCTTTTTTAATATATATCATTGGCGTGCTAAAATGTTCATGGAATGGTTATATTGGAACAAATATACTGAATAAAAGTGTCTAAGGGTGATCAAATATTTTTATCGAATCGGTATTCGGATAGTTTAATCTACAGTATGAAGAGAAGCCAAAGCCCCGGTTGACACTTACTACAATTACTGTTGTTATTGGCGCAGCGGGAGACCTAAATAGTTGCTAATAACGCATGCTGTTTTCACAGGGCTAATGTTATTCAAGTCGCCGATTGTTTTGGTCAGCTTGACGCGGTTATTCAGACCGTTAACATCGATATTTTGTCGGTAAATTATCTCAAAAAAAATCGTTATTATGCGACCATCGGCATACAGATGCTAAATATAATCAAAATGGTGAATCTGCAACTAAAAATTTCCAACTGAAAATAAGGGAGTGAATATTAAGACTCTAAAATTGTGTTGTAAAATATTAACAACATGAAACGAAATACACCGTAACTTTTGCCCTAGGATCCTATGCCAGATGTAAAAACGCTACTTTAGACATTGTAAACCCCCAAACTTGAGCCATTATATATATATCTTAATAATTATCGAAGTTAAAAGAATTATTCGTGCCCACGATGTCGTGCCCTGCTTTCATATTCTTAAATTATCCTCGGGGTTATTTTATCATATTATGATGATATATAACCTAATCATGTCACCTTAAAATGTAATTTATGGAATTTGGGACATTTTATGTACCTCCAAGCGATTTCCCAAGTAAAATGGGAAAATTTGGGGGGATAGAATGATAGAAAATAACAATTTCATTTTGCGCCACCTAGCGGATGTAAATTGAGCAATGAATTCCTGAATCATCTCTTATCAATATGAATTAATGATAAAAATCGATAATCAAAACCTTCTTACATGTTATTAGCCTTTAATTTTCCTTGTAGATAAGATAACGTAGTCATAGATTCAGATTGAAACAAATAAAAATTGTTTCCACAAACATTCTTGTGCAGGTATTGTAACTATGTAGCACAACATGAATATCCACCTAAACCTGTCATTATTAGAGATAATGCTGTTATTTTAGTTCGCGTTCGTGTCACCCGTAATTTTGCTGTTCCGGCACTGTAATCTACCTTGATAGATTGCATATTGCTTCGTGTTCATATATTTGAGCATCGTTCTCTTGTTTACCTATATACATCCAAATCTGATGACTCCTTCAAAATTCACTAATATGCTATTGACTTAGCTGCAGATTGTTAATTTCCCCACTAGGTCTCGAAATTTATACGCAAAATATAAAATGTGCTTTCTTATAATTTTTCACCAACTTAAACGTAGGTACTCACGATCAAGTTCGTTCTGCCAGTGGAGGTTGTATGTATGTTTGTATTTCACAAGAATAGAAAAAAAGAGAAAAAATACAACAAAAATATGAATAGACAAAAATAGAATATTGAAAACTGACTAACATGAAGTGGGAACGATTAAAAATATTCAAAAAAAAGGAAAGAACCAAATAAATGAAAGAATAAACAAAACACGAGAAATACGTAAAATTCAAATTAGTTTTTGTTTCTTGTCTTGAGTTTCTTTACAGTTCGGGTTTTTTCGGATCGAGGTCGTTTTCTTTGATACGGTTTTTTGCCACCATATGAATTTACTCCGATCATTAACATTCCATTCGATGACAGCAACGATTTTCGTTGATTAATTGAAGAGAAGGTAAGAAATCTTTTTAGTAAATTTAATTTTTCTTCTTTTGATTTCCCAAAATATTTGTTTGGGGCAATGAAAAAATGATTGAATGTTTTCAGAGATTGATTTACGCATAGCTTTTTCTTCATCAGTTCCTATTGTCAGTAATTTTGTATCAACGTCGTTCAAAGCACCGGAAAGTAATGAGAAAAATTGATTATAGCATTTTGCAATAGATGACGAGTGAATGTATAAAGGTCCGAGCATAATTGGTGGTTCCCCAGTTGCTTTATTTGTTACAGATAAGTTCTTAAATGAGGTCACTGTCACATGAATCTCGCACAGATTGAAAGTTTTGTCCACAGTTAGTGGCGTTCGGCCTGTACAGCAAAATCGTTTAATGTCGCTGATTTGATCGTCGCTGAATATTGTCACACCGATACCATTACTGGTAAAAGTGACGGAGCGAACCATTGGTTCCTGCTGACACAGGGAAACAACACGCAGCATTCTGTCAACTAGATTTTCGACAGGACCATTATGGTTGTTTTTTTGTCGTTGTGCTTTTTAGAGTACAGTTGACAAAGATTCCTCGGTGTTTGTACTAATACTTTGTCTTGTAGGAGAAAGTCATTGTAAACCTCTCTCGGCTTCTTTTGTTGCAATTCTTGTGAAATTTTCTCGAGAGTTTTTGCATTGAGGTGGATGGTTTTCACTTGATTACTGCCGACAAACTCGACCAGAGCAATTTCATCTTTGACCTTTAATAGATATGTCGGCGATGACAGTATACACGTGACACGTTTTTTAAACATTTTAGTTCCTTTCAGAGACGCGTAGTAACGTTGTATTTCGAGCAATTGTTCAGAACTCGGTTGTGGGATTAATGGATTGTAGGTTCTTCTTCCTTTGATTTCTTTTTCGTTGCAAAATTGTCCCGCTTTTTTAAAAACTTTTTTGGGCCTACAACCTTCTTCCACAAAATAAAACGTTTTAGGAGATGTGCCTTTCTTAGAATTCCAGACGCCACAATCGTCCGAAAATTCGCTTCGGTATCCATTCCTACGATTCTCTGCATTTTTGGTGTTTGTGTTGGATATTTGGACTAGAGTTCTAGCGTTTGACTTTAGCCTACTGTAGACTCCGAACGTTTTGCTCGGTGCAAACAATAATACTTTGATACGATCTTAGTTGAACCTTGCAAAATCCCTCCCCAGTTCCACACTGTCAAACAATCTGAATTACTTTGAAACTCATATTGAAAAGGTTCCACAGCACTTTAAATGTTAATGTCGAAAGTTAATCATCAAGCAGCAAATCCAGAAATAATGACAGTAAACATATAGGTAACTTGCAGGTGTAGATAACGTCTTGAGAACCAATACGAAACGTCCAAACCGGGGTAATGGGTAACTAGTAGCCTACCGTAACGGGTAATGGGTACCCTAACGGGTTTTACAAAAGTGAACAACTTAAATCACAATTAAGATAAATAACTTAACTGCAAATAAATAACAATAAGGTACATTCAGTGGAACTATAATTCGTATTCAATCATAAGCATACAACTAGTCTGAATGCAATAGCCCTAAACAACTAAAAATAAAATCTAATGGTCACGGTAACTAAACTAAGTCATACGCAACCTACTGCATTACAACCATAATCTAGGTCCAGGAATTACAGTTCAAACGGCACGTTTCGATAATGAAAGATGCTCGCCGACTTCGGCAAGTCTAGAAACGTCTCGATGTGACATCACAAAGGGGTACGCGTAAATAAATTGAGCAACGCGATTGCGACACTATAATGTAAACAACTTGATTACAAAATAAAAATTTGATTATTAGCAGTCCGTAACAGTTTGTGATGAGAAAATATACATTTTCTTTGCTACCAGTTGGAATTTCAGGTAACACCGTGCCGGGTTCACAACGGCCAAAAATTTGAATAATATGTTCCAAGCTTAGGAATTTTCCGTTTGGCAGAGGAACGCCTCGATTATTGGATGCTCTGCATGTATCGGATATAGAAGGAGGCATGTCAGGAGTTACAACACCTACAGTTTCAGAGTCATTTGCTGCATCAACATGTTCGTCTTCGCTCGTCTGATATTAATTTGTCATCATTACAAAATGTTTCGGAGTCTGATAGTATAATAGGGGAATCCGGAATTGAAATCGTATCGTATTTTTGAGCTGGTCCTTCGAGGAGAGGTACATTGTTCTGGTGATTTGTTCTAAAATATTTGGCTGTTGGAGGAATCGTCATTTGGGTCCACTTTATTGTCGTTTTCGATTGTTGCGTGGCTCTGACGTCACGGCCTCAAATTTTCCTTGTGAAAGGCTGGCTTAGGAAAACGTTGGCGCTGCTTTGAGGGTAATAAGATTGAATCGGAGCTTTGATAACTGAACTCAAGCCATACATGTGCATCATTTCTGAAAAACATCCATCCGTTCGAGCTGAATGTATCAAATCCAAATCAAAATCAAATTTTGATGTCACAACCCGATCATCGCCAATCGGGTTTTTGAAAGCAGGTATTTCTATGTCGTAAAATTCTTGATGTTCCATAATTTCAATCGCTGTCAAGAGGCGTAAATGTTTGTGATAGTCTTGTGTTCCATATAACGAGACGGATGCTGCCCTGTACAAGAAGTTTCTATCGCCTTCCACGTACATTGGAGTAAAACAGTCCAGCATGATTGGATGAAACTTTTGCAAAATATTTTTACACACTGAACATTCTCTCATATGATTCTCAGATTGTGGTGCTCCTAAAGGTATAACTTGATGATTGTCTAACAAACATTGCAATTTGGTCAAGTAAGGGCGACCTGCTAACATCCGTAACGCCATGTCGTAATCGAACTTTTGATTCGGGCACAAGCACCTTGCACATAAAAAGTACATGTCTTTCTTGCTCCATACTTCCATGACTTTTGGTTGTTCTCCAAGACAGGAAGCATGTTTCCAGGTCTCACACATTTCACATTCAATGCACTCGTCAATGTATTAATGGAACAGATGGCACATGGGTATCTTAATGCACTAGATTAGCCGATGCTAAGGAAGTAAACAAGTGAGTCGATGCTCTGAGAAATTAGTATTAACATGACATATTGTCCTCTGTGGTTTAGCGAAAAATGCATTACATAACGATTATGAAATAAAAATACCGATGCATTCAAAGTCAAGATACAGCTGCGGTCCAAATTGAATACTCGAAAGGTTCGGATTCAGACCGCGGTCCGCCAGTTGAGTAGCCCTGCTATTATATGCTATCAAACTCCTTTGTTATGACATTAGCGCCGTTATGAGGTCATAGCCTTAAAGGTGGGTTATCACGCAAACATTTTTGTAGCAAATTTGATTCTATATAATTTGTTAAGATTTTTGGCGTTTACCGTTTGCATAAAATGGACTTCGTTTGCGAGACTCGTATTTTTAAAAGTCGACCCTGCCGAAATCGAACGCAAATTAATATGTCCCGTTGATGACGTAGTAGTGAGAACTCGTCGGCGAAACTTTGCATTAGGTCAAAGGCAATTATAGCATTCTGTGTACTCATTTTGAACCGTGTGCTAGTTCTATTGGCGGCGCATTTGGAGGAAGCTTTTGTGATTTAAATCAATACCAATATCTTTAAATAATATTATTGCCTTATGAGAAATTGCAGTAAACTCAACTAATCGAGGTCAAGACGTAGGCTACTCGAGTTCTGTGCCGGACCTTTTGCTGCAATATATTTTCTAGTGAAAAAGCGCATACCAGGCCATTTTTTGTCTCAAATTATCTATATTTTATAATTCATGTGTGTTTACTCTGCTTATCTGATCCTATAACTAGTCTTTTTATTATATTTTAGGTATATATAAACTAACTGACTGTACCGGTACATGCGCAAACACTACCGTAACGTATGGAATGTGTAGTTGGTGGTTACAGCAGATTTCACAGGGATGGATCCGTTTTGAAGCAGAAAACAAGGAGAAAACTATGGATAAAATTTTCGCAAGTAACCTTTTTTGATGTCTCTCCATGGAACTAAAAGAAGACCTCTAAGTCGAAGGACCGTTTCAGCCTTAAAATTATGTTGGAATCCATGCAAACTTCTACCCACAGCCCTAAACAACAATACTTCACGCAGTTATTCAAATCAGTTTTTATTTATTATTAACATTTTATTACAAGTTTTCATAATATGTAATTCATTCATGCCAATAAATGTGTTGTCACGAATCTCCATTAGTTGATGGATAACAGCTGGACTGTGTTGTTTATAGCAGAGTGCACTGGAAAACGAAGTATACAAATTAAATTGATAGAACTGACATAAAAATAAGATTCAACAAGTGTCATACAACAGTGTCTTGTTGCATAATAATGTGAAATGAATATAAAAAAAAACTGAGCCATCATTGGGATTCTACGTTTATCTGGTACCGGTAGTAGACTATCACTCTTTTGGTAAATGTACAAATTGGCGATTTGTATTTGCCTATTTGGTTCATACAAAAGTGTCACTGGATATCATCATGCTTTGACTAAATATTTTATCAAACAGTCGATAAACGAAATAAAGTGGTAAATACTTACTCTAGAATCAGTTCTTCAAAGCCTCCTGACGTACCGGTGCGATCATTACATAATACGCCTTGGCTTGATCCCCTCACATTCAGAACTTTTTATGCATTAGCATTTAGGCTTAACAATACATTATTGCGGTTAAACTAAGCGGTGAGAAACTAGATTTAAACGCCAAAAACAGAGGTTGAACACCTTACTCGCCAATGGCGAGGGAGCTAATTTCTGGAATGAGTTTCTCACTACTACGTTATCAAAGGCGTTTCTGAACCTGGGTCGATTTTCGTTGAAGTGATTTTTTAAAAATTCATAAGTAGAAAACTAAGTTCACTTTATGCAAGCGGTAAACGTTAAAAATCTTAAAAAATATGTAGAATCAAATTTTCCACAAAAATGTTTGCGTGATAACCCACCTTTAACGATCATTCAGCCGTTCAGGGCTCAAATGGGCAGAGAACCTTTCAACAAGCTTGGTTGTTGGATGAGTACCGGTAGGCTAAAAAAAAGATCACAAAATTAATGGACATGCCGTCAACACTTTGTCCTTTTTAATTTGCCTATAATACATTAATATTGGAATATATTTGGCGGACCGGCAGCTAGGTTGCCGCGGACCGGCGGTTGAGAACCACCGCACTAGACATAGCGTAGTAGGCTGTCTTTTGACGTTTGGGTTGAATATCTGAACCAGAAAATGGAACTCTTAGTTAAAAGTAATAAAGGTATATTTGATATCGACTAGTACAATTAAAAATTATCATCCTGACTCATTCATATATTATATACATTCAAGATCTTAGCGTTTTGCAACAAAGACACTTTTAAAATATGGACACCATTTCCTCATTCGTAGTAAACTTCAATAAATATATTAATCCTTATATAAAATACAAGTTATCTGAGCTAGCAAAAGTTGTAGCCTACACACCGATAAAATCGTCGAACTGGCTTGGTATTTTATCCTTGGCACGTTGATGGAGAAGATATAAAAACTAGGAGTACAATTACAAGAATCGTAAATAATCTGCTTTAAATTTCTGATGCTAATAGTTCGAATATTAATTCAAAATGGCACATATGTCGCTTTTCTGTCGCAAAGAAATCTCCGGCCATGACGAACAGCCCAGCCAGTCCTGCTGCATTTCAACTTTGGAGGCTCGAAGCTGTGTTATCAGTAGAGAAATCAGTAGGAGCACTTTGAACCGTCCTCGCTATAAAGACTATAACGACAGTCGTTTTCAACTCGTGGTCAACTCTCGCATTTTCCTATGCTGAAATTTTAAATTCAAGTATTTTGTCAAATATGTTAACGTTATTGATATATTAAAACATTTATGTAAGGTTATATATATTTATCAATATACCTTGTATATATATATCACAAATATTTCATATTTGATGAAATCCAACGACATCCCCACTTTCATCATAATTTAAGGTCACGTACTTCAACCAGTTCCAATATAAAATGCTTAGCTACATAGTTACAATGCCTGCACAAGAATGTTTGTGGAAACAATTTTTAGCATATTAGTAAATTTTGAAGGAGTCATTTTAGAGGATCAGATTTGTATGTATGTAGCAGCGTTTCCCAAACTTTTTCGGCCATGGAACACTTCCACTTTTTATCTCGCCTCACGGAACACCAAAAAATAAAAGGGTAAAATTGATAAAGAAAAAGTTGTCAAATGCGCGGCGAAAACTAACAGAATTGTGTTAACATACTTAAAATATGATTGAATATTTTACATGTTGAATTTATTATAAATGTTTTATTGTTTCCTAATTTAAATGATGTGTGTATGAATCAATAAATTCATTTTACCATTCTATGTCGTTTACTTTCCATTACGTAGTGTTTGCCTCTAATGTTACGTCTAATGGAGATGTTTAGCGAAAATGAGTAATTTTTTCAGCATTTCAAAGTAAAACCAGACAGATACGGAGGAAGACGAGTTGACCCTTTGCCTTTATTCTTTAGGTCTACTCGTTTGCCTATAGCAAAACCAAAATGATTGCTGTAAACTTTATAACTCAACAGTCAAAAAGGTAGGCCGACGGTTATCGAAAATGCCACTACCCTCCCCAAGTTAGTACGATTTACTCCGACGGTGACGCGATATTGAACGGTCAGTTGGGCGACAACTTCACGTTCTATAGATCAGGGCTTTCCAAACTTTTAAGCTCGCGATTCCTTTTAAAATATATATATATATATCAGTGGCGGCGCGTGGTCATTTTGACAACCGGGGCGAGCTACTGCGGGACCAAGTCACCCCCATCTACGGGGACAGGATGAGCGCTGTAAGTTCTCCCATCATTTTATGAGTATAAAAACCATTCCATCGGTAACAACCAATCGGCAAAAGCGACAATTTTTAACGATAAGAAAGTGTCTTTAAAACCGGTCCAAGTCAAGGGATTAATAAATATAGACATAGTTTATTTTGAAACCTCTTTCAAAAGGAAAGGCAATATTTACCCAGATAAATACAATGACATATTAACAGAAACTTCGGGAAAAGCAGACAAAACCTAAAATAAGGTTTAAAACGTTACTATGAAGAAAGGAAAGTTAATGCAAAGATAAGGACATGCGTCGCTCACTCATAGATATATATGCTGCTAGACTTCTACTGTTTGAACATATATGCAACACGCCGCGCTTTCTTGGAAGCAAAATG